CGCAAGTAGGGTTGGTATCGTAATGCCAATAAATAATTTTATAATGTTGTTACCTGGTTGTCTTTACTATTCCAATCCGACATACATGTCCATTCGGAATGGACATAAATTCCAAACTGACATATGTCCATTTGGAATGGACATAAATTCCCATCTGACATATGTCCATTCGGAATGGACATAAATTCCAAACGGACATACAACAAATGTTCGATATATGTACCGACATGTTCATCTTCTTTCCCATCGGGAAAGATCTTTGTCTTGGCAATAACAACTTTCTTTGCGATAAAAGATACAACTTAGTAATGTCGAGCTAGGCCCAACAATGACTCTGTTTCACCGAAACTATTGGCTGTCGACTTGGGTATGGAGAATCGAATCATGAAGACGTCCACAAACTTGTTGGGATAACAAAAATCTCATCTCTTTCACGGATTGATCTACAAGTATAAAAGAGGGAGGGGGACCAAATCATAATATTAATAGTAACCATCCCATCCCATCAGTTACAGTGATATGTTATTGGGTATGATATTAAGGGTGAAGATCGTTAGTAGAGTAAGTAGGATCTGTGGAATGAATAGTGGCCAGACAAGTGTCCCTCCTGCAGTCGGAGAGAGAGATGGTTTACGGATGGTTCGGGGAAGAAAAGTGGACTATTTGGTTGCCTAAGTAGTAGACGTATAAACTATAATATTTGTATAATACATCAAATACTATATCGATTCCAATATATGCATGTATAATTAATTATTGTTACGAAATGTGGGTGTCGTAAGTATTTATAGTAGTTATTATGCAATGCATTTGTTGCACAAAGAGATGGAAAGTGGCGCAGCTAATAATAAGTATTTATACGTATGTACTACATAATAATACAGTAATTATATATACACACGCAACACTCTATACGTTATGAGAATATCATATGAATTGTTTTGTAAACAATTTTAATATCTGTCCAAATTTGAACAAATATATTCTATAAATACATCCAACCATCCAAATAGTATTTTTTATACATTCAACTATACTTTTGATCTGTTTCGTTAAATTAGCATTCGCATAAAATATAAAAAGTCGCGTATCCTGTGCACAGGTGGAAACACTGGCCTCGGAATCACAGAAAACAGTGCACGAAAACGACACAACACAGATAAAACACATTTGTTACGCTCATTCGAACAAAGTCAAACATCCCATTGTACGGTCACTGCCGACAAACCAAAAAGACTAAAACGTTTGTTGCACCAAAACCATACTCCCAAAACTTAGTAATAATTGAGGCCATCGCTATATTTATATCTCATAAAATCGCAATTTAATAGATTCGCATTGCCCATAAACTGTTTGTTCTATATTATCTTTTAATACTATAATATAATTCTCTTTGGACACCGGCTTTCCCAATCCTCTTTTTCCCCCCCTTTCTTCAACCCGTCCCTCACTGTTTTGCCCCATCTCACCCCTAATTTTTCCTTGAAAAGTATAAATATAACATTTTCTCCTTCATCGACAAACATTTCCACAGTTGTGGACTATAATGGAAATATCTTTGGCCAAAGAAAATTCAGTTTCATCCTCCACTTCTCAATCTCCCTTCTTAACCGCTTCTCTATCAAGAAATACTTACACTCCTTCGACAATGATATTTCAACAATCCGGTTTCTCTAATGATTCTGATAATAATGCTACTCTTCCTACCACACCTGATACCATCACCATCACCACTACCACCGCTACTACTTCTTCTTCATCTTCATCTTCTACCACTACGTCAGCCGCCTCCTCCACTTCTGCTTCTCCCATAACCAACACTTTTTCTCCTTCTTCACCTGCTTATTCTAATGACTCTAGAGAATTTCCATGCTACTCCGATGATATCGTTTCTCCAGATACACCATCTACCACTTCACTCAACCCTCAATACACCACAGCTTCCGACTCTTCCTCCTCACCCTCCAAAACCACTACCAAATCTGCCCAAGTGCCAAACATAAGCGTTCCTTTCCCACCCGACCTAGACGCTCAAACACTCGTATCTTCTCTCCTCAACAAAAAGTCCGGCTGCATTCCCACAAAAGCACCCAACAAATTTATCATTTATCGCACAGAGTACAAGAAAGCACTCGAGGCAAAGGGATATCGCTACAAAATGAAGGAAATTTCTCCGTCCGTCGGACGTGCATGGAGAGCCGAACCGCACTGGGTAAAGGATTATTACAAGCGATTATGGGTACAAGCAAGCAAACTGCTCAGAGATATCCAAAGACAGTCGCCTCGCTTTATGGATAGTACTTGGATTAGCATGAATGATTGCGTTGGAATGAGTTATGAAAAGGACACGGCAAAAAGAGAGGATGAAACAAGAAAAGAAGAAGAGTTCGGTGAGAGTGCAAGTAATGTCATGACAAACGAACTTAATAATAATCACACTACCATAAACGACGTAAATCAGCAGAATTTATATTCTCCTGCTCATTCTCTCATCAATACTAATACCATATCGGCCACGCTCTTGCCGGATGCTACACTAGACAATGATTATTGTATTCATCTGCATGGAGAGAGCAATCCACATGAATGTGACGGCGCAGTGAGATGGATTTCTTATGTTGTTGACGAGCAGAACGGAAATATGTGCGGAATGCCCGGTAATTTCAATACTGTTTCGATGTTTTCTCCTGCCCTTATGGGGGTTGATGAAAACCAATTGTATATGCCATTTGATGCTACTTATTTGAATAATAGTTATTAATGCAAGTTTAGAAAAAATTATATATATATTATTTTTTGTTTGGTTAAAAAAAGTGGGTGGGTAATGAAGTGGAATGGAGGAGAAGTTAAGTGGATGGTTGAGAAAAATGATGTAAAAACGAAAGTTTTAAAGTTATTTGTAATTTTTGATTCGTGGTCGTCTTGAAGATGAGATGATTACATTTGGGATATATGATGTTTATGATACAAAATAAGTTTAATAAAAAAAAAAGGTCGATGCTATAAGCCAACAATCAATGTAAAGGGTGGATCAAAAAACATTTGCTGTATTCACGTTGTAGAATTGTTGTAGAATTGTTGTGCTTATCACTTATGTAATGACAGACACAGTGTTATCGTACAATTACTCTATAGCTTGTCACTTCACTAAACTCTATGGTCATCTAGATTTATGATTATGTGGTTTGTTATTGTCGCCTTTTTGGCCGTTCCGATAATATTCTATATATGTTGTTTCGTTGTTGAAACTTCATTTTCGTGTTATATCCCCTGGTTCTTTGTTGAACAGTAAGTAAAACGTTGGCGAAACACACGCTGACGCATCCAAACACTAACATTGTCATTGGATGATCGGTGTCTGTGCGTTACCAAAATTAATATGTTAATTATGACGTAAAGGTTAGCGAATAATGAGATTAAATATGGGGGAGACTTGAAGTGTTTGCTGGCTTTGTTGTGATGCTCCCAGTTTGGAAGAGGATGATATCGGATGGTATCCTCGCCCTTTATTTAGAACATGGAAGTGAGCGAGCAAACAATTATTGAATACATAGTAGAGACGCTTGTTTTGATTGTTCAGAATGTAGCTGAAGATGGAAGAACGATTATCAATGGTAGCATCCCCGAATTGGTTAGACGAGGACAATTTAATGATGAATACTGGATTTGATAAAATTAAATATCATCGAAACAATGGGAGGAAAGCAACGCCGGCAGGTTGCTTTGCTTCATGAAGTAACAGTTATGCGTCATTACCCCTCCTCGCATACAATCTCGACCTTATTCCATCAGAAAACGGGCATTGCTTTTCGGAACTGTGTAGCAAACAGTGTAGACTTTTCCTACGTTGTTACTAAAACTAAATTAAGCTTCATATGATATCATAATGTCCATTTCCAGAGGAACAAAAACTAGTACAATTCGTTAACCAAGTAAAACCGAATGTATTTGAGTTTGGGATATGTTCCATGCTTATCTGGGGCGTTTAGCTTTCGACAAAAAAAGTCAAAACAAAAAAAACCGACGGGAACCTGCCTGACTCGACCAGACTGTACAGTAACAGTGACAGTAACAATAACAAAGACGTTTGGGCAATAAATTCGGGCTTGGTTCCAAACAGCGTTCGATATAATAATGATTGGTTTGTGATTTGTTGGCACATGAAAATTACCAATGACCCCCTGCAGCTTCTATTATGCAATATTTCCATATAGGTAATGTAGCATCGATTCTCTGGACTTTGTGATACAGAGTTTTTGATGCTTAATTTGATAACACTGACTAACGAGCAAAGGTGAGAAGAAAGAACGAGGATGAGAATGTGGTTTGCATACATCGAATACGCTAAAGAAACATGTCCAAGCAAGCAGCTGCAAGAATATGTAAGAGTGCGATAATGTTTATAGACAATTGATTTTATTATTATCAAAGCGCGTCAATCGGGTTTTCTAAGATTAACAGATAACGGTTTCGGGATTCTGACGGAAAAAAAAAAAGACTATTTGGCGTATCAAATATATTGTGAGACAAGCCAAGCCGAGTACATTTGATTGGATGGATATGTGCTGCGTGCAAAATAAGCCTCGCTTTCAAATATATATGGGGTGGCTTTATCTTAAAATACTGCATGTAATTCACGGAGTTTGTTAATCAGAAAGTTAAATGTCTGGACCCCGAGCTAAATTTAGTTTATACGTATACACTTTATCATGTATAAAAGTATAATACTTTGTGTTCGGTACCATGGGTGTACTATTACTATATTTAATTAATTAAAACCAAGTTTTCTTTGCCCTCTGCCCTCCTCTTAATCCAATTTGCTGCGCATCTTCCAGAATTGGTTAAATTGTCTGTCGTATTTATAATATTTACGCTACGTAAATGATTCGCTTGAAGGCTTGTCTTTATCTGGTTACTGTTAACCAAATATATTTACATTTCGTCATATTAAAAAAACGAGGGGGTAATATTGATGTTGGGCAATTTTCTTTCTTGGGGCTGAAAACACCTTTGTTTGCCTCTGTATAAAGTGAATAAATGGTCGTCTGATAATTATGAATTCACGTGATATATTGCAATGAGTTCACATACAGTTTATTAGTTGTTGAGTGAGTAACGAACGGACAGTGACTTGTGAAAAGAGTTTGGACGTTTGTAGGAAATGTTAATGTAAGTGACTTGGACGAGAAACGCTCTATCAAGACACAGACTTTCTCTTCGAATATACTGGTTACGGAGGATATTAAGAACAACAAGCGAGTAAACACGAAAAGGCTTTTATGATGTCTGTCTTGATGATACCGGAACATTTGATATGAATTCGAATGGAAGAAACACAGTTCAGTAGGTAAAACCGTTTCTTATCCGTTAACATTAGAAACGTTTCCAAGAAGTAAACAAGCGGTAAGAATAGTAAGAACGCATGAAAAACAAGACGAAAACTTGCAATTTATCCCATAGTAAAGCCAAGTATTTAACAAGTTCTTTATTTATCTGGCAATTGCTGATTAACAGGTCGCAAAAGAACCTTTCAATAAACCATTTTACTGATTGAAGCTTAACAAGAACGTGTGCCGTTCATTGAGTGGGAATTGGTAGGAATGTATAAGCAAAAATCTGTACAACAGAAATGTGCGTGTCATTTCAATTAGCTGCAAATCTGCTTTACCTCGTAATTATAGTTCAATTCTAGCTAATTTGCCATGTCCATAGGAGCAACGAGTAAATATGAGGCGTAACAAACGAATCAAAGCCATGCCATCGACTTTTCTGACTGTTCAAATTTCCGCATAATCAATTACTGTTAATATAACGTCTCTCTCTATCACAAGCTGCCAACGGAACACCTTCAGCATTCAATCGTAAGTTATCCTTAATTTAGTGCAAGACTCTGAGGTAGATGCAAAGTGGAGGTTGAATCCGATATAATTGCTGAGATAGCATAGCGCAAGGAAGATTTTTTTGGGGAGAGGGGATCTCTGACTAACCTATGGAAAATTCATACATATTAGATTGGTGTGATTTAATTACGTTTGAACGTTCAAAAAAAAATAAAAATTTCAAGTCAGTTTGAAAAAGCTCTCTTAATTCGAACGCAAAAGGATGTCCTTTTTGTTATTAAACTTTAACCGTTAAAATGATATTCGAATACGTAGTATACGGTTAGAATAACGGGCATGCAGTTCAGGCTTACACATGGAGAAACACATCCGCTTATAATCATTGAAGAAGCAACTGCCTTCGACCATTGAGTATGTATAAACGTCGTAGCTAGGGCGGTGCTGATATGAAACTGATACGTAATACTGTAATATTGAAGTGTGGAATTGACGCACTCGAGAATTACTGCATTCCCGCTTATTCTATCGATTGAGAGAGCGTCAGGGAATAATTATGATGCTCTTATGAGTATCCTAGTCTATGGCAAAGTACTGTTTTAATATTCTACCGTCGAGAATAATGTATTCGATATTACGCAGAGAATCGCCTATTACCCAGACTAAATAAAAGATAGAGTGAACGAATAATGTACGATGGTACGCAGGGTATGAATTATTCATCATTCGACCCAGTTATGCCTTTGCCACCTCTCTCTGAAAAATAATGTTTTCGGGGATATTTGTCTAGACATTATATAGTAGGAGTAGACTAGCATGTTCCAATTTGATGAATGACCCGATAACATATAATTCTTTATCAATATTAATTTAAAATTATCTAAAATTATATATTGATATATATAGCCTCTCAATTGCTATACAAATTTTACATATTGCACAATCTGTGCTTATTTTTAAGAATATAAGTTATAACTACAACTTTATTCTTCTTGATTACTGCTACTCACAACAATCAATAGTTTTGTCATTTCCCCCCGTAACTCATTGTATCCGCTGACCTTGCTTTTCTCATTCTCGGGACAATGATATAAGTTATAAATATTAATATTTATAATATACAGTGTTTTTTTTTATATATTTTCTTTGTTATGTGTTAATTCTTACATTTCCTATTCAACAAAACCCGACTTGATAATGTCAGTATTAAATATAGCGTTAATTAAGAGTATACATGTTATTATTATGAATACCTTGAGACGTGTTCATATTAAAATCTCATTTGTATTTAAGATATGTGGTATGAGGAACTTAATTGAACTGTATTATTACATGCGTATCTGTAAATAATACCTAATACGACAATCAGCTAACGTAGTAAAGAGCAAATCTAATGGCTTTTTAAATTTCTTTACTTCAAGGATATAACTTGATATTATTAAGAAAAAAAAATAGGTTTTATTCTAAAAGCTTAAGTAATAGTGGCTTATTATTATTATGCCCAACAAGCTGTCATCCCAACACTTATGTTAACAATAGTTACTACTTTCATATCCTGCATATAACTGTCAGTTACCTAAACATATTAGTTGACATGAATGATGGCTAAATGAAATGTGAGAAGGCTCTCCCAGATAGCCGAATTATCAATATATATAATATAATTCATTTTCTACACTAATTTGCCAAAAGTATAAGTATAGAAAATCTTCCATTTCAAAATTGTGTAACAATAAAGTTTGTGTCATTTTGAAGCTACTTAGCAAAGGAAAAGGTAAGTTGAAGTATCTCAATGCATAATGCTGTAGTTCAATAAAGTAACAGCATGCATTTTACACTAATCATACACAAGCTCTACATGTAACATGATAACATTTTTGTCATACTTATATTTTTGAGGGGTGCAAAGTTTATATATTACTTTTAATATAAAGCTTCCCAATTTTATGACTGTAAGCATCAATAATGATAACATGTTTGAAATTAGTAAGTTTCTTTATTTTTCCTGAAACCTCTCAATTACATAAAAGCCTACATGTTAATATTTGCACAATTCATGCTTTAAGAATTTTCATGGATAAAAAATTATGAACCACAATTTTATTCTTCATCACTATTACTATATACATCATCCACATCACCATCATCATCACCATCATCATCACCATCACCATCATCATCATCATTACCATCACTATCTGGATAAATGTAAACATAGGAAATTTGATTAAACAGCTTACATTTCACTTCATCAGAAAGATATGCTTTGTTCATCTGTATTTGAACTGACTTTAAACTATGCCCCATATGGTTCAATAATGCATTGATAACTTCATCACTAATATATTGACCAGAAAGATTTAGTGATTCAAGACTTGTAGAGCAAATGGCTAAAAAAGTGACAAGTTCTTCTGGGTATTGTGAGCAATGACCTGACAATGTAAATGACTTCACTGATTTAGGCATATTTCTTCCAAGAAGTAATAAAAGTGTTGAAGTTTCCTTAAAGTAATCATCTGGAAGTATCTTAGCTGTCTCAGCACATAATACACTTAAGTTCCTCAGATGCTGCCACAGTGGAAGAGCTGCTTGTATTATTGGAATATGGTGAGAAATCACTTTTAGGGAAATTGATAATTCAACAAGATGGGGTGTATTTGTTGCACATGTTTTCCATATTTCTGTGTACCAATTTTCATTTAGAACATCCTCAGTATAAAATCCAACAAAAAGATGGTCTAAACATTCTTTTACACTCCCAAGCAGTGCACAAATACTATTGGAATTCACACAAACATCAACCAGCTTAAGACCTCTCAGCCTGGAAAATGCATCTAATTGCAAAGGATGGAGTGAAAATAATTTGCATCTATGCAAGAGGACAAACTGAAGGTTGGTATATTGACCAAAACTAACTATGCCCCACACATTTGCATTTGCAGATGATATACCAAATGCTCTAAGAGATGATGCTTGGGTGTATAATGCTTTTGAGATCAATTGTAGACTGGTCTCATTAAGTAGTAAGTCTCCAAAGGCAAGACATACGTTTTCTAAATTCTTTTGGTTGCATATGAGTTTACAAATGGCATCAGATTTAGTGTCATCCATGAATATGAGATCATCATGACGACAATATGTATTTGAATATTCAAAAAGCTCGAGGCATCTTAATTTATCTGCAGCACTGTGTAGAATGTCTATATCGAAACTTAAGAAAACCTGAGTTGTCTCAAATGATCGAAATTTGCTTTGACACTGAATAAATTCCAGGATATGTTGATACAATTTCCCCATTTTAATTTATCACGATCTTGATAATTTGAATTATAAAATATCTCCTTTAAGGAAGGACAGTTTTCCACCATTCCTTTGCATGTTATTAAAAACAGTAATTTTGTTATTCTCTGCATATCATTATTCAAAAGGATTGAAGCTGAGTTCATATCAACATAGCCATTTATTGCATGGATACAACCCGCCATATGTAATCTCCTAACATGGCTTAGATAATTGATGATTGGCTGCGTATTCTCAATCAATATATTGCTGTTGTCCAGTTCGTCGAAATACTCTTTTGGTAAAAATTGCAAGACCTTGCCAATTAGTTTTACAACTTGATTTCCAGTCCAGGAAAAAGGAGCTTCCCATAGATGGGAAACAGCACAGACACACCACATGTGGTTAACAAGCAAGCACGAGTAGAGATCGTTGCTATGGTTAGAGAAGTTGCAAATTATCTGCACAAGACAAAGATAAGGGAAGTCTCTCGAAACTTTATTGCTTGACATAATGACAGAAAAGTGTTTCATCAAATCAGCCCGGTAGAAGATGTTATTTATGGTTACACGCACGTGAAATTCCAAAAATGTTAGCCAATTGATTTCAACGTCAGTTTGTCAGTGAATGTCGCATTATTTGCTAATTAGTTGAAAAATTATACGCCACAATTGTCGCGCTTTTATGATTACAGTACATACATAATTTTCAACGGCTCACTTTTGAGATTCAAGTCGAAAAATTGAAGTACTATTTTTTTGATTTAGAAACAGGAGCAAAACGACATATTTGGAGCCAGTTAACCCAGATACAACGAGACACGAAAACATGTATATATCCAGAGCATGAACTTGCGCTTTAAAGACGAACGATTGAAGTATAGTTTGACTTAGAATGTGATTAATAATAAAGAGAAAACTCCTAATTGCTACTATGTGTAACAGTTTCTAGTTGTTCCCGTGAATCGCATGATCGTAGATGCACCCCTTTTTTTTGTGTAATTAAACCTCAGTCGCGAGTCTGCATCGCCCTGCAGGATTATCATGTATTGACGAACGTAAAACATATATGATATTTGGTCAACTGCATGTCACATGAAATTTTGATAAATGTTTTACGTTCTTTTTTCTCACCCGTTTCGAGGACTACGATGTTGAACCGATATATATTCCAGAAAGAAGTTGGATTATTGAGGAATGCGGAAAGCATCTTTCCACCAAAGCTGATAACTTTGTTAAACGAATTTCTTCAATATGCAAGTGGACGGAGTGGAAGCTCTACTATATTTATAAAATACCGGATAAATAAATTATATGATTGGATAAACGTCTTAAAAATTACTGATCCAATAAAGCCTGGAGAAAATACGAAGTGTTTGACCTTGAAGGAATCTGTGATATCAAGTCATATTAGAGAACGGATAAGGCGTTATGCAGTAAACTTTGCGGTATGTTGCTTGCTTCATTACGTTCATTACTTTTAGATTGCTGTAAATTTAATAACTTTTTAGAGTTTTCTTGTTGCAGCGCCGCTGGAATTGCGATCGGTAATTCAATACTAATTATTATCGTCACACGCATATCTGATGTCTTTTTTTTTTCTTGATAGAATTGGCAGCATTAAGGCATTAAGACTTTTACAATCTATCAATGACGATGAAGATGTGCTTCTGCTGTTAACTCGTTAAGTCTAACAGCACGAACATAGCGATTTACCTGAAGTATATATGTAAAAAGTTTCGATAGTTCTCAACTAAATAAGTTTGTTGCTTACAACATAACCTTGTCCCTATTTTCAAAAAAGAATGTCTACCCATAATGACGGCGTATGTATTGTTGAACATAGAGCCAGGAATATTCGCCCAGACATATGGTTATCGTGGCGAGTCGTATGTAATAAAGACACATCATGCGTTGGTGACCAAAAGATCACCTTGCTTGAAGCCTATCAATTGGAAAAAAAATACAAGTTAATATAATATGTGATACTCTATCCTTTAGGCATTCACTGAATCAATAACAGTTTACTGGAATATTCTCAGCACGTGATAAGGACCTCAAATATAAAATACTCGTTTTTTATAGATTGTATTCCACACGCACTGTTACCAGATTTACCTCGATCTTGCCTCGTGAATGAGTTTCTCCATATATTGCTTATGTCTGACGTTTGTCAGTCTTTCAGAACAACACGCCCTCTTGATACATGCCTGGCGTTCTATAACCACCAACTCCAATCTCTTCAGCTTCATCAAATTCGTCGACTTGCATAAATTTGAGTTTACTGATTTGGACAAATTTGTCTAGAAAGGTTTGTATGTCATAGTAGAACAACAATAGTCACGTAATGGTTCTTGATTAACCAAATATTAGATTGACTTATTATTTCTGGATAGTTTTTGTTAACTAGATTATAGGAAAGAGTACGGCTATTATTAGATACTGTTATAATAATAATAAACTCGGTTACCTGATAAAATCAAATAATTGAGCATCCTGTCCGTCAACAACCAATCGGTCTTAATATTAATAGATTGTGATGTTCATATGCTAACTAATCGAAAAGAGTCCAAACATTCGTTGCTTGCTTGTAGTCCAATCAGAAGGTCTATGTACCAGAAAATAAATCTTCTGCGTGACTTTGTTATTGTGACACAACTAATTCTGACCAACGAAAGCTGAAGTATCTCTCCATGTTCGAGGATTGGTAGTACGTCTATTACCGTCAAAGAATGTCAGGAAATGAAGATTTTCAAGCTGGCAAGAACGTCTTCAACTGTCCTGCAATCGATCAGCTGATTGAATCCTCCCAAATTCTTGACAATGGAAAATCAGCAGAGGCTTATTCTCACTTTCGATGGATCTCTTCTTGGGAACTTACGGATATGGACTTGATTGAAACGTCTGCTGACCGAACCGTCTATTATGCTAAATTGGATGGAATGGCTATAATGCTTTTATTGCTTGGAAACATTGATAAATGTACGCCGGAATTTGTGCACGAGCTTGCTAGAACGTACTCACTCCCTACACATGTTTACGGAAATTCTTCATCTAACTTTAGGAGATATTTCAAATGGCTCAAGAGTCGGAATAAATGGATAGAAGGATTTACCAGAATTGAAGATAATTATTATCTAGTAGCCCAGAAGACATTTCACGATTGTTATTCTCTATATGGATTCTGTTCTGCATGTGGGATATTTAGATGCAGTCCTGTGTGGTGTATCTGTGGTCACAAGGAATTGTCAAATGGATGGACTAGCAATAACGAGAAACTCGACGAGTTGATCAAAAAATCGCAAAACCAAACAAAATCAGCAAACGAAGCCTACTTGGAATGGATCCCGACTGACCAGTTTACAGGTAGTAACAAACATTCGAATGCAAAACTGATTGGTATGCATACTTATGAATGCGTGGAAAAGTTAATTTCACTTGAGCTATTACATAGGACGGATAGTCAATACTATCATAAGGTGAGCCTTATCACGCATGTTTGACCGATTTACGATTAACTTAATCTACAACAACGCTTCTCATTAGATAAGCGCTCGCAATCCGGATCTGCTCGATCCAAATATTTGGATTACTATTGGATTCACATACCGTCCAGGCCGACAGGTATACCTCCTAATTAAAACGAAATATAAAGATGGTTTATGTCTGTCGTGTGCAGAGGATTTATCTTCCGATACAAGTGTATTTTGTACCAAATGTAAAGCACCAAGACCTCCCGATTGGACTACAGGCAACAAATGCTTGGACTCTTTTATAATGGAATCATGGAGTAATGTTGTGCATCGAACTGATAGTTATATACAATGGACGGAGTATTCCCGATTAACAAACATAGAAGAATCATCTCTACTAAGACACCAATGCACACATACTGCAGATTTGTTGGAACAGACACCAAGTACACATGAAAGCAAGTCGACGAAGGTGTTACTAAAGAAAATCGTTGACGGACAGGATGCTCAATTATTTGATTTTTATCAGGTAACCGAGTTCATTTTTAATCATTACACGCTAATATTACCGTAACTAATAGTGCCCGTGCTATTTTTATAATCTAGTTAACAAAAGACTATCCAGACATAATAAGCCGATCTAATATTTGGATAATTGGCATAACTCAAGAACCATATACGCAAGACTATTATTTGTTGTTCTACTATGACATACAGACCTTTCTAGAGGAATTCATCCAAGCCAGTAAACTCAAATTTATGCAATTTGACGAATTTAAAGAAATTGAAGAGATTGGATCTGGTGGTTATGGAACTGTCTACACCGCCAGACATGTATCAAAAGGACGTGTCGTTCTGAAAGACTTCAAGAATCTTGACCAGGAGCCAGAACTATTTATTTACGAGGTAATACATGTAGTATTATTGGTTCGAGTAATTGATCATGTTTATCTAATGAACAGTGTATTGTTTATTTACGCAGCTCAAGAATCATGCTCGGTGTTATGATTCGGCATTTCTCGATATCTATGGAGTCACGCAGCGGCCAGAAACAAAAGATCACGTGCTCGTAATGCAATACGCTAGGAACGGTAGTCTTTCGTCGTATTTAGATCAGAACATCAACAAATTGACATGGAAAATGAAATTAGACTATTTGAAAGATATTGCACAACATTTGTGTACCCTCCATGAAAACGACTTGATACATTGCGATCTTCATGGTGGAAACATAGTCCTCAATCCTAAGCGTAGTAAAGATGGTACCTATTACAACATAGCGTTTATATGCGATCTTGGACTCTCTAGGTCGGCGAATGCATACAAGTCAGGCTCCTCATCAACTATTCGAGGTGTTCTACCATATGTTGCACCGGAAGTCTTTTATACAGGCGAGTTTACACAGAAAACAGATATCTACGCTTTTGGCATTCTAATGTACCTGATTGCCAACGGCGAGCTACCGTTTAGGGACAGAGCATTCGATGAACATTTGGTAAGAGATATATGTAACGGGCTGCGACCGGCAATACCTGATTCAACACCAGAGCCTTATCGACAGCTCGCTGAGGAGTGTTGTGATGCTTATCCTGACAAGCGTCCAGACGCAAATCAACTTAAGCAATATATTGAGAAACTCATTCGCGAGGAAAATCAAGATAAATCTAGTAACAGTGTGTGGAACACAATCTATAAAAACGAGTATCTGAGGCCCTTATCTCGTGTTGAGAAAGAAAATAAATATTCCAGTAAGCTGTTGCCTACAAGAAGTTTGCCGATTGATTCAGTGACTGGTGTGTGAAATGGTGACCGATAGCTTAAAGAATAGAGTATTACATATTATATTAACTTGTATTTTTTTTTCAATTGATAGGCTCCAGGCGAGGAGATTTTTTGGTCACCAATGAACTTGCAACAACGCACGGTGTGTACTTTATGGGTTTTCGTATTTTCCAGTAAATGCAGATGTTTAACTTTATATATTTTTCAGACTCGAAGCAGGTTGATCTAATTCTTCCTGATTGACGTTGCTTGCTTACAGGAAGGGATAACGCATAAAGTACATACGCAGTCATTATAGGACAGATGTTTGGAATAGAGAAATGCCATTTACTATTAAATCTCACCCCGCTCTACCGATAATTGTGTAACATTTACTAAATTGGGAATGATTTCAAATAGTAAGCCTTTAGCGAAGGGACAGTTATATTAACTCACTCTATTTCAAAGAAAAAGCAAACATCTATTGATAATTTTATTCGCAGCTGTTGGTCTATACAAGTAAACAATAAAGCTTGACCCTTCGTCCAACACCCCTGATAATCGATATTTCGCGTATCACTCATATATTATCGATGGAAACCCCCTCCCCCGATCTACCAGCTTCACCGATAAATTTTTGGCGGAACGAAAATATCGGTACAACGAGGTTTGACTGTATATACTTTCATCGTTTCACAATTATTTAGATAATATTGTAAAAGAAAAACTTTTTTATTGATCGGAATGTCTTTATTTTTGGGAATTTAACTATGCTAGTATTAGAGCTTTATCAACAGACAGTTATTCCATTTTTACTATGTACAGTACTGTATCCAATTCAACGATGACTATACATAATCATTGGCTTAGTACACGATGCATACAATTGGAAGACGTAATTCAGTTATCTCTTCTTTACTTTTATAGTGGATAAGCAACAAGCGAATGTTAGTGGCTTTCTTCAAGACGTTCAAGTTTGTTAATTGGAAATCCCTGATGTATTAAAAGGGACTATTACTAGTGTGTCACATTTGCCTAAGCATAAATGTTTGAAATATCGGAGTATTCTTAATCATGGAGGCGGCTTTGTCCATTTTATGTTTAACTATTTCTTCATACTCCATTTCATCATAAAAATCCTCTATCCTACCTATATCTTCATCAGGATAATCCTCAAAATTATTATCACAGACATGTCGAATTTTCGTACGTTTAACTCTTGTTGACAAACCAGGTATCTGAAAACCCCTGTCGCTTTGTCGGTCAGTTACTAAGGTGAGCTTGCTAATAAAATTCAAAGCTGCCTTACGATGCGATATGTTGACTGTCACAATCTCCTTTTCCTCTCCAACCCAATAAAAATTCCACACATCTCCTAAGTCTGTCAATAACCCAAACACTTTACTGTCTTCATTTACAAGGAGGTCAGCTCCCACCATTTCCATGACAATCTGCGGCACATGACTCTCCTGTACCATTTTCTTCAGCTCCACTACCCCGCGAATTCCAGCCCTAGAAATTGAGGCCTTGACATAGCTCTCATCTACCAAGGCAACGTCTGTTCCACCCCGAGTATCAAATGGTATCACTGGATTATTGTATATATTAAGAAAGTCCCTTTTATCTATGACGTCAAGTATAATGATTCCATGAGGAAGGTTCGGTTGAAGATGCTTGTTGAGGTACTCAATGATCCGTTTTCGTTGCGATGGATGATTTTCGGGATAATCTGTCCAATCATAAGCATCTATATCCCTACTTGAAGATGCATGATAGTCCAAAGCCCTGATCTCAATTCCGGTATGTATGCGAAAGCGTTCCAACTTCTCTAAATCCATAGTTGAGTATGAAGCAACGTCAGGTTCTCGCGTCATTCGTTGGTGTATCTCATTGATCTTAGTTTGCATATCTTCAGATAAAGATGTCGTAGCTATGGACAGGAAAGACAAAATAAAACGTGAGCAAGCTAGTAACATATAACGAGAAAGATCAAATGGATGGACACAAGAATAGGATTAAATTCGTGACATGAGAAAGCTGTGCTTTTCTATGTATGAAACCCGTATTCCTACACTAACCTTCTCCCATAAAACTGTGTAAACACTGACTTAGTATCATTCTCCCAACAAACTCATAAACCATATTACTACGTTTATCTACCCTATGCACACACTACTCTATGTACCCAACGCCCGAGTCACAAAGTCGTTACCTGGTTGAGTAGTTACTATGGGTGGTGCCACAACGAAGACACTACGATAATTCCCGATAACTGGGTTGTTTTCAATCGGAATATCGGTTAGACTGTCGAACGTTCCCAAGGAATTCCTTCCAGTGTCTGCATGTTCCTGAGTCCTGTAGACTCGTAAACGAGCTGCACCAATGCCTTCAAGCACGTCCTTGAAATCGATGCCCGTGGCAATGGCTCGGCGGAGGGAAGGCACCGTTATCTGGTCTCGAGCACTGATTCGCCCAGCGAATCCCCTTCGCGGAAAAGGCGCACGAGAAATTGGTTTTCCATTGATGGGAAGATGTGCTGCGCGATGTGATCTAATATACGAGACTTAATCAATGACGTATTATTAGGAACTTTCCATTGCTTGCATTGTATGCAAAGTGTGACCAATAATAATTGATGCGCAGAAATTGCGTTTGTGTTTACTACTATCACATTTCAAATCTCCGTTATTCGTGTTATTGTGGTTATCGTGGGTTATTATTATCATGTTTACGATAGCCTCGGAAATTTGGTGTCCGAATTAGCGGAAGTTTACTGTATTAGCACAGTTTCCAAAATCAATAGAGCGATAACAAATTTGCGAGTGACATCATTTCGACAAACCATATCTAAAATCTTACAGTAGACAAATAAATGCTTTTGAGAAAGTCTGTAGCAAGCGATACTTGCATGCATTGGTGTTATTTACTGCTTTCGCAGTATCAGTCTTATCTTCTTTGTTGGCTGTCATTTGTATGGTGGGGACACAAGTACGCATCAAATTGTCAATGGAAAAAGAATGTCAATACTCAACTATATTTGATTTTACCCAAAAATCGTTTCAGGCAATTCAGCCCTCCTGAGCGAAAATTTTTATTTAGAGATCACCTTTACTCAAAGGTAGTGTAACACAAGATTTCCATTTTGTTAAGACCTTAATAAATAGGTCAGATTTAAGATTAATTTTACCAGAAAATGCTGTTTCAAATTTCTGCTCATTATATAATTAACCAAACTTTGAACAGTTGTATCTCAAACCACATGCAGCATTTGTCAAATTTCTAAGCATTATTTGTATTATTGTTTGAAATGCATCGATTTTTGTTTGATGCGTACCTGTGTTCCCCAATATTTCATTTGCAAGCTTAAGGTCGTCAAATCTTTCGGTAAATTATGATTTAGAGTAGTACTTAATTAAAAAACATGAAACCAAGCAAGGGAATGGTTATAACAGGTACTTAACGTAATAATATCCACGTGAGTTTAATATTACTGGTACTCCTAAATGCAAGCTTCTTTCAAGTGCAGGCATTGGCCTCAATCCACAACCTGCAATCAGGTACTAGGAAACAAAGTCTTCATCGCAACAGTCATGCCAGAGAGAAATGTTGTGCCTGTATATCACTTTCTGGATGGCAGATTGAATACGTGCGTCTAGCCGTTCTTTGTGCAAATCATTCTATATTTGAGATATTGTTGATACTGCATGTAATGAGCAGAAATCAAATATTATCTGCCACTTTTTACAATAAAGTTCGATACCCAGTTGTGACAGCATATCGGATTTTTTGCCCAGAAATGCCTGTTTGTTATCGGTTGTCTCAGTGTGACAACCGGAATAATCTGCACAAATGAGGGGTGATAAATGTATAAATGTCGTGTAACCAGAGTGTATAAATAATATTCCACTGTAATAATGATATCTACGTTTGTGATAGCCTGTCGTTAAGTATGCGAGATTCGGCTTGTTAAATAATATCCCAGTTCACTAGGGGGCAGCTTTCTCAAACGCAGTCTAAAAAATTGATAATTCTAAGTGATTTCTTCATTCTTAAACGCATTATAAGTATACTAAATTTGCTAAATACAAAATGGCAAAGCATGCTACGTAATTTACGATAAGGTAAGAAATGGGAATATCATGTTTTGATTTTCGAAATTAAAGAAAGACAAATAGAGATCATCAAAGTTATGCCAAATACAATGGCCGAGGCGTAAGACTGTAAACAAAAAATCACCCTATTTTTTTTTGCGACGTTTGCACTGTAATTGATTAACTTCTTTTGCGCCAGAAATTGCAAGACAAACGATGTTTTTAATAAGGCATAATCTCAAAATATTGCAAGTCTAAAGAGCGCACTTATCGAACAGTATAATATTTAATCTCCTCACTTACAACGCACGAACAAATTTAAATTGTTGTTGGTTTTCTGAGGTGTTTGTTACTATCAAATTAGGTTCAAATTTCGAGAAAGCTACTCGAAATAAATTAATTAATCCTGCTTTATAGCAAAAAAATAGTTATTGTTCTGAAAATATTTATCTCAAAAACAGACAACGACTACCATCTATTATCATTTACGTAAAAGCAACTTCAGATAATTTTTTGACTGGTGCAATTGATATTATATAAAAATATATAGATTTATTTAAAAGAAGCGATTGCATATTTCTCCGGAGATGTATCCTTGAAAGTCGGCGTATTTTTGTTGTTGGGTGACAAGTAATGGTTTGCTAAAAGATGTGAAGCAACTTATCCCACCACTTATTGGTGGGGAAAGACAAACGAAAATGTGAGTTAATTAATGTTGTGCACCGGACAACAATGAGCCTATGTTACACAATCGTGCACAGATCTTACATGTGATCCAGGGTCTTGCTTCTTGACCTTACAGCAAAGTAACAAACTCGGTGTCTTACTCCGATGCTCTTTGTCTATAAAGTTGGAATAATTTTATTGGTTGTATTGAAATGGTACACAGGTCGTCCGCCAGGAGCCATTATGCCAATGCTGTTATACAAATATTGGGCTCTCTCTTAATACATAAAGTTTCTCCTTTGTCGTCTTTATAACTGTGCACGTTAAATCATGACATCAAATTGCAAAATCTGCTTATATATCTTGACGTAATTACCATGCCTACTCGGCATAATGCACTTCCAATATAAGCAAAGGCAAGCATTTATTAAGCGTTTATTTCATATTCTAATCGCTCAGCCCTATGCTGTGCAACACCATTGTTCAGGCTCTTCTTCTTCGTACGTATGTACAATAAAAAAAGTGGATTTATATACGTAATTTATCAACAATAAGTCATCTCACAATAGCAAAATGCGATTTATTATGCACACGAGTTATGACCATGCATGATGATTGCTCATTGATGCTCTTTATTAGGAGCATTAACCGGGGAGAGCTCCAAATTAATTGATGATATTTGGTTCAATTATTATTCGCATAACTAAACTGCGCGGATGAAAACGGTATCGATATGCAGGAGTCAATGAGTCATGAATAGGTATAAATAAAGCTCAATCTCACGCTGTTTGTAATCAAAGTTGTTCCCTTCTTCTGTTATTCACGATTTCAATACATTCTTTTTATATTATTCATAACGATGAGCGGTTCTGGTAACAACCACGATGGCGGCAGTGATGAGAATAGAAACACTGTATGTGTCAAATAACGCTGCACTTGTAGAATTATACCGCACATTTACTAATTTTTTAAAATATTAACATTTAATATATAATAGAGACAGCGTCCTTCACTAACCATCGTCATTCACTCATCTACGTCGTCTACGTCATCTAGCCCATCAACGTCTCCGTCTCCATCATCGACATTCTCGTCGTCATTGTCATCATCGCCATCTACATCAACTGCAACCTCGTCACCTTTGTCCACGCCCTCTATTTCCCCTACTAGACCAATTTTTGATCCAAATGAGCCGCTCGAAAATCCTGTTGGGCAAAGAACAATCGAATCTGTTTTTGATACCCATTTTGAATAACCGGGACGAATTTTAGAGGCTTGCGTTGGAAAATGAACAGGCTTGAGCAGATATGTGCGAGGCTATAGCTCCTAACACCTACGATTGAATGCTATTGTGGGAGGTGGTGTCATAATACTTCGTAAATCAGAGTAAGGAAGATAGGCTTATAAAACAACGTTTTTTAACAAAAAATTAAAGAAAAAGAGCAAGATTTAAATCGGCTCTCATTAGTAACAAGAAAGAATTCTACCAGAGATTAATCTATTTTAAAATTTTCTTCCTTAATTTCTCCCACTAAGCCAATTTTAAGCCTTTTAATAAGCTAGCATAGTTAATAAGGGCCAAATTTTTATGAAACAAACAAACACTCTTAAGAATATACGTAATTGGCAATACAATTGCTAAATTAACAAGCTGACAGTCTTCCCTGATTATTCTAAGTTACTAACGACATTCAATGGGGGGCAATATTAAGACAGTACATGACTACGTATTAGTGTGTTATATAATTGTTAACTAATTCTCTGTGTTGTTCCGATTTGACTATAAATTTCGATCTGACTAACAATTTTGCTACAACTCTTGTGATAAATTACACAAAAAAATTTTTAACTTACTAAACTTTTTTAATTGTACCAGCAATTATAAAGAACTTGTATTAAAATGTTGCTTAATTAGCGGGTTGACTTTCTCAATTAAGCACTTTGTTTAATAGTTAACACATTAATTTAATCTACATACAGATTCTCGTATAGACAACCACAATATCAATTAAAAATATTAGAGCTAAAAATAAAAACGTATGTTCTAAATTTTAAACATTATTGTTAAAGTGGTGTCCAAATAGTATAATTGTGGTATACTAATGCGAATTAATATACAAAAATGTTTCCCAAGATGGCAAAATAAATTCTGTATACAAGTGGCTCTCGATATAAGAAACTGATTGGCCCAACAAATTCCTTTCTTATATCAAAAATTTCTTATTTGTTATAAGATTTCAAACCGGGTCCAGCAAAAATCCCATGCTCTATATTCGCAAAGAATCTTTCGAGAGATAGATAGATAGATATCTTTCAGCTTCTTATATCGAAGGGTTCTTATATCGAGAGCCACTTGTACACAATTTGTCTTGTTAATAAAAACACTCCACTGCCTTAACTAGTCTTATGTATTGCTACTTACTGCATGTTAAGTATATTCTTGCGTTTATATGTTACAATTCATCAACAAGCAAACAAAATTGGTTTGACCAAAATGTGTTTTCATTAACTGTTAATAAACATTGGGTTTAAGATTGAATTAATGAGTAGTTTTTGTGAATAGAAAATTTTAGTATTATATTGACATTTACAATCTTAATAAGATTCAATTAAAAGTGTTAATTTAAAGTTTTGATAATAACTTATCCTGCTAAACATTATTTTATTGTTATCTGGATAGCATATATGTAAATAGAAATTGAGTTTATTCTATATTTGATTAAGTAAAAATTTTAAAATGTACAACAAAACTTCTTTCATATACCGTCCATAAATGTCATTAATCATATTCTTATGCTTATAAACTTATTTCCTTTCCTTTCCTTTCCTCTTCACTTTTACTGTGTTTATAAATTAATTAAGTATGCGAAGTACTTTTAACGTAGCATTTGGTATAGACGAATGTATAAAGCATCATGTCTCTTATTTGGTAGAGATGAAAGGGAACTTATAGCATTGGTTTGAAAAGACTCGTAATAATTTAGATATGCCCGTTGTTCGTAGAAAAAAAATAACTGACGGCAACCGATTAATTGAGCAAACGTTTCACGGACATTTGAGTTCGAATGTGAGCAGCTAAACGTTTTTTCCGCTTAAGTTCGTTGTACCAAAAGTTCTTTACCGCAAGACCAGTACGTCCTCGAAGCCGCTTGGCTATGCGTGCCCATTCTGGTCCATAAATTTGATGCAGTCTAGGAATGGCTATTTTCTCTAGTTTGCTTAATGGATCCTTAACAACTGGACAAAAGTAGGAAAATATTGTAAGAAACTTTTTTGTAATTTTAAAATGGTAAAAAATATAAAAGTAAAGACTTACTGTTTGGTCTTAGATGGTAGTTATATCTTATTTAGATAATTGACAGCAATAAAAAGACATTAGATTACATATAAGGTGAATAAAACTGTTGTTATTTTTGTTATTAGCTCTTACCTCTCTTCACATTGCTTTCCACATCTAGCGGTGCCTAATTGAGCGGCAATTTTTGACCATCTTGGTCCCAGACGAACATATAACTCTCGTAGACGCAGATCTTCCTATTGACAACAATGGGGTTAGAACATTTATTAACACTGTTATTGTAATAAAATTTATTTTTGCCATTCTCGTAATTAAAATTTAAGACTAAAAGATAATGCGATTGATCGAGCATTTCATTAATCGCTTTAGTTAGACAAAATATTGAAATTTAACATCCAATTTATGTTCATTAATGATTAATTTCATATCTTTTGATTTAATGGCAATCGATATAGATGATTACAAAGAAAATCAAGTTTGCTGACATTGAATGCGCAGTTCAAATCATTTAGTCATTAGCATCAAGTTTATATAGTGCTTGCTTAGAGGCTACGCAAATACTATCTACAGTTGACGATTGAACACTACACATATAACCGATCTCAAATTGTAATCAAACGGACAATCTTGAAATATCAACAGTAAGTTTTGTAAAATACCATTACTCTCATTTTTTAATTATAGACTTACTTGATTGTTCCAGGGCACTCTTGAATGCGGTGTGCGTCCCTTATTATTATCCCATAATTTTCCATAACGAGTTGCATTTTCAGACGGCACAAACAACATTTTCGGAAATTTTAATACCGAAGCGTACGTATTTTGATGATGTTTATTGTTAGCATATGGCTTTATTATCAATCTTTTTTGTTTATTTGTTTTGCCGCTTTCATTGTCATCGAGCTTACTGTTGCTAATTGGCTTTTCGTTTAGAGGGCCGTCAGTATACTTGTTGCAATTTCGATTATAGTCAAACTTCATCTGATGATTGTCGAGAATCCAGTTTGTGCTTGCTCCGGTTCGATACTTATGAGTAGAGATGCAACGATTAGAAGCTGCTGCGAGATCTTGTGGTTCTTTAAATGCGGTTGATGAATCGTGTGATGGTTGCGAGACGAAGATTGTAAAATAACTCATGACCCTCTTGAACTATTATGATGAAATTGTGTATGTAAATATGGTGTCAATACGTATTTATAGTCCAACAATGTTACCTTAGTTCGCTTATTAGTAAATTCGTTGTCCGATTACACTCATGGTATACGTTGACGCAAGCTCTTAGTTTATATAACAACTTTGTAATGTAAGCGCTTTATTGACGTGGTTCTAGACCCCTTTATTAGATCCTTTTGTTTCTTTATATGTATATTCGGATGTCCGTCCACATTGTTTTATTTTATCAAATGAGCAGCTAACGGATACAACAATGCATTAATAGTTGACTAATTAAATCCAATTAATAAAAATACAATC